AAAAACGTCTTTAAAATTTTGAATTTACAAATACTCCCATAGTAAATATGAATACATATTTTGTACTAGTAGACACTGGTAATCGATCGAGCTAGGAATTTTTTACACAACCTAAAAGAAGAGGTTGCGGCCATTTTCGTACACTCAAATCAATACTTGCGTTCTTTGGATAACGACACTATTAAAATAAATTAGCGATATGTAAAAGCTAACAACGTAATAAAGATGAGATGTCAAGTGGACGTCGAAGTGTGCAAATGTATCATTTGGCGACGAGTAAAAAACGCAGAATTAAAAAAAGTCCACGTGGTTTACAAAATGACACGTTTTAAAGCTCAAAAATCTCGATAAACATTCATTTCTAATAATTGTCGGTGCTGCTGAGTTGCACAAAATATTGAAAAGACTTGTATCGCCTTAGAAAATTGAGGAACTAGTTATAGATGCTGAAGTAGCCGATACTTGACTCGCCATTTTACCAACTACGTGTAAATAGTGTATATATGGAAGTGATGTTAATGACGAATTAAAAGATTGGCAAAAAGACGCAATCAAAGCTAACAGATCAAAATAACATTTCCGCGACAGCCGATTCCACGTACCGGAATGACTCGGGTTTTACCCGACCAAGGGCTGTTGTTTCAGGGATCTAACCCCGTTTTGGTCGGCGAAATCCATCAAACGTTGCTCGATCCTAGGGCTACACCTTCTCCGCACCCTTCTGCTCAGGGCTGGAATAGAGTCAAACCCAGGGCCAGAAATCTACACCTGCTGCGTATGCCAGAGACGACTGCATACAAACTCTACCTCGGTAAGGTGCAATGCCTGTGACGGGTGGAGTCACCTCCGTAACTGCTCGGGCCTGCGTACGCACCGGCAATGGGCCACGTCGTTCGTGGCCCCATGCTGTGCGAACCGGACGGCCTCCACGGCAAACCACCACCCGCCTGGGCAGCACGCAATCAACACACCCACACCCCAAAACAACACAACAATAATAGACACACAAACAAACAAAATAGCACCCACACACCGCCGCCGGCAACTCCTAGTCCCTCCGACAATCTGCTCTACTTGTCAGTCCAGAATATACCATAACGTGACATCAGTCAAGTGCAACTCTTGCCTCGGCTGGTGCCACTTTAGGGCGTGCTCAGGACTTCACACGAGATTGGACGAGTGACTATGTGGGCCCCTACTGTGCTGCCCCGTCGCATCCCTCCCCCGCGACGCCGCCAACCACCACCACAAGGCAGCACCCCCTACTGCAGCATGTACAGCAGGGGGCCGGCAGGCAACACAACTCTTTAACACCACACATCACAATCGGTCTCGCAAGGCACACAAAGGTGCTACAATTTAACTGTAACGGACTCCAGAGTAAGATCGAGGAGATAACTGTCTTCATGGGAATGCATGGAATATTAATAGCTGCGGTCCAAGAGACGAAGTTGCACGGCAATTCAACCCTGTTGAATTGCGCCGGATACAACGTGCACCGTCGAGATCGCGAGCGAGATAATGGTGGCGGTTTAGCGTTCATCACGCACCACACCGTGCAGTATCGTATCCTAGAATGTCAGGGTATTGCTATCCGGTCAGGCGATGTTGAGCTCGAAATATATAACGTATACATACCCCCTGTCACCAGCTGCCCGGCAGGATATCACCCTGAAATAGGTGCGCTACTCAGAGGTGAAAACCGTATGGTAGTTGGTGACTTTAACGCGCACCACGATCTCTGGCACTCAAGCCTGTCAAATGATCGTAGGGGAAAACATCTGGCTGAGCAGATAGACGATTCGACATTCTGCACAATGAACGACGACGCACCCACCAGGATTATGGGCAGCTGCTGCAGCTCGCCAGATCTAACAATCGTCAGCGCTGGTCTGATAAACAGCGTATCATGGCGACCTAGGCTGACTCTAGCATCAGACCATCTGCCCATAGTCATCTCGATTGATAAACCTGCCGACTTTGCTTCCGTGGATCACCAGACCTATGTCAATTTTTCCAAAGCTAACTGTAAAGGCTTCACGGATGTTACTGAGGGCGCCTTCACTGCACTACCCATACCAACCGACGTTCATGTAGGTGAAAGTAAGTTCTGCAGGGTTGTCACCGCTGCTGCAGCTCGCTTCATCCCAGCAGGATGTATTAAGGATCCACGTCCGAATTTTTCTGCCGAAGCGGCTGTTCTAGCTGACGAGCGCGACAACCTTCGTCAGGCCGATCCCGGAAATCCCCGTATTAGGGAATTCGGAGATTCGGAATTCGGAGATTCGGCAACTTGTGAACGTACATAAGCGGAAGAAATGGGAAGAACATCTGAAGACCTGCAACTTCGCCTCTGGTGTGAGCAAGCTTTGGTCAACCGTGAGGTCGTTGTCCAACCCGACGAAGCGCGACGACAGAGTCGAGATAGACTTTGGTGACCACGCTTCGTCGGACCCGGAGAGATGCGCGAGCTATTTTAGCCGGCAGTTCATTCTGCATCCTCCGGTGGATAAAGCCAAACGTCGAGTGACCAGAAGGCTGTACAAAATGCCAAAACCTAGTGCGCCTCTTGTTTTCACCAGCGGTGAGGTAAGGGTAGCCATCGGGAAGGCGAAAGCCTCCAAAGCCATTGGATCCGACGGAATATGCATGTTGATGCTGAAAAATGTGGGTCCTGCGGGAGTAGCGTACCTAACGGAGGTCCTCAACCTGTCAATGACCACTCTCGTCATTCCAGACATCTGGAGAGAGTGGTCCCACTGCTCAAACCGGGGAAACCAGCCAAAAAAGGAGAGTCTTATCGCCCGATAACTCTCCTTTCCCCGGTAGCGAAGACACTCGAGGCCCTGCTGCTCCCGTACTTCACGCTGACCCCAGCGAAGCATCAACATGGGTTCCGTAAAGTGCATAGTACAACAACAGCACTTAACGCCATAAACACTCAGATAACTCGTGGCCTATACCGAAACCGCCCCTGTGAGAGAACTATTCTAGTAGCGTTGGACCTGTCCAAGGCGTTCGACACTGTCAGTCATTCAACGCTACTAGAACACATAGAGGCCTCCTCACTCCCACAGGGGCTGAAACGGTGGTCGGCGAATTACCTGAGTGGTCGACAGTCGTCAGTAATCTCCAGAGACAAAACCAGCAAGCCACGTAAAATTAAACAAGGGGTACCACAGGGTGGTGTCCTGCCCCCGCTACTGTTTAATTATTACATATCAAAGCTTCCTCAGCCACCAGAGGGTGTTAATATAGTCTCGTATGCTGACGATTGTTCGATCATGGCGTCTGGGAATGGAATTGCTGACTTGTGCTAAAATGTAAACGGTTACCTCTCCGAACTTTATCGCCTCTTCACTGCAAGAAGCCTTGCCCCATCCCCTGCGAAATCCTCGGCAACCCTTTTCACCACCTGGACGAAGGAGGTCAGACTGCCACTGGGTATTCACGTCGATGACGTAACAATACCGACGGTGAATAACCCGAAAATCCTCGGAGTTACCTTCGACAGTCTGCTCCCCTTCTCGGCGCATACTACCGCAATTGTCAACAAAGTACAGATCCGCAACAATGTCCTCAAGTCGCTGGCTGGCAGCACTTGGGGCAAAGATAAAGAAACGTTGTTGGCAACATACAAGGCAATTGGCCGGACGGTTCTGAACTACGCAGCGCCCGTATGGTCGCCGGGACTAACACGATGCAGTGGATGAAGCTGCAGACCTGCCAAAACACGGTATTACGAACTGCGACAGGATGCCTCTTGATGATGTCTCAACACCACCTTCACGACGAGGCCCAGATGCTCCCAGTAAAGGAGCATAACATAATGCTCTGAAAGCAGTTCCTCGCTGGGAGCCACAGACGTGGCCATCCCAGCGGGCAACTGCTCGCGGAAGAGCCCTCGCCACGGCACGTCAGGAGGCATCTTTACGAACTGACAGACGAAGTCAAGAGGTATATTAAACAACCTCTGGACCCGTCAACCTACCGACAGGCCCTCAACGGCATTCACAGGGAATCAGTCTCAAGTTATGTAGACTCCCGCCCTGCGAATGCCGTTCTAGGCACACAACCACCGGACTTGGACGGGACAGAACTTTGTCTGCCTCGGGAGACCCGCACTATAATAGCCCAACTTCGCTCTGGCTATTGCAGCTGGCTCAACAGCTACCTGAGCAGAATCAACGGAGGATTTGCCCAACCAATGCCCGGCATGTGGAGAGTCGCCACATGACTCCCGGCAACTCTTCACATGCCCTGCGAATCCCACTCAGCTAACGCCCCTGTCCCTATGGACAGCCCCTCTGGAAGTAGCACACTTCCTGGGCCTCCCCCTAGCTGAAATAGACGACAACGTTGATGGATGAACTGCCCCGAACGGGGCTTAGTAGCCGCTACAACAACAACAATCAAAATAACCTAACTTTTGAAAGGGAGTGTGAGACAACGCTGAAAATTTAAATGCTACAGCAAGAACTTCTCAATGTGTTTGGTGTTTTTCAACTTTTCAAATGTTTCCAAATGTTTTGCGTCAATTAAATCATAACCACATGTAACTGCCACCAGTAATACATGTGACTGTCTCTTTGGGTTTGTAAGTATCTTCATCTGTTGTTTTTTCATATATTTAATTTAACCCTTCCGTTAAATTAAGAAAAACTTACACTTAATACACTAAGGTCACGAAATGACCTATAGATATTTTAATAGGTCAGGTGAGACTTCGTTAAAATTGAATTTAGTTATTATTTCCAACGAAAAGAAATTAATGTGCTCAGATAGCGCGTTTATAAGCTGAATTCTGAATTTCCTCAAATAGGGCTTTCTTGAAGAGTTTTCTGAGATAGGGTGTTTTCGAACTTGCTGCCGAAATAGGTCGATCTTCCACTCAGGTGTCGATCTAGTTTAAGATCAAATATTCGGACATAAGATTTTTGATTTAATTTTCTTTGTTACTTACACATTATTTACTTTTCTTTATTATTGACCATGTAAAGGTACTATTGGAAAACAGATGGTAGATACACTGGTTGAGTCAGCAGGCAATGTTGAATTGATTTTAAAATACTTCGATATGTTTTTGAAACTGAAGGATTTGATTGAGTCTCCAAGCTTTGCGGAAATCGACCTAAAAAATGAAGGTTGGGTAACTCCAAAGGACTTCCGAGATAAAATGGAGCAGTCGAAGAATTACACACCGTAAGTTAATATGATCTGAATATTATGATCAGGACCGAAAAAAATAAGCAAGAAAATATCCATTTTAAACGATTAGATAAGCACTGAAACATTGGTAAATATGCTCGCAAATATGCTCGCGAAACAACAAAATTTAAGTATAGCATAATGTTCTGTTTTTTTCTCGGTATGTTTCAAGTATTGAAAAATTACAAGAGACAATCAAGTGTTGCTTGATATTCTCAAATAATAGAGATCTCCTCTGGCCGTTTTATTTTTTTTTTTTGTAATATTCGTTATTCTCCATTTGAGGTAAATTGTTTTTAATCTCTTTAATAACACCTATGTCTTGCCGTAAAGACAAACCATTGGTTTTAAATTTTTGTATGCAAGCAGAAATGCTATTGAAGTTACGGGTTAATAAAAACCAAATCTGTTTTTGTATTATTATTTGTAAGCATCCCTTTGGTTCCACGAACAAAAAAAACGTCCAGAAATGGTCAAGAAAAATTTATTGAGCCAAATTTTCTTAAGCAGTACGAAATTTCTAAGAAATTTGCTACGCTTTCTACTATGGTTTGCTAATGTTTGTTTTTGAAGAGTATAACCCCCCTATTATGGATTTCCATATGATAGACGATAAACGCTTACAAGCGTATCGCATAAAATCAATTTTCGTATTATCGCCCGACAGACGTATTATTGTGAAAGGCAGTGGTTTTTGTTAACTTTTTATTGTGAACCATCACAAATCAGCCACGCTAATTATCGAATTTCATACTACAAAAATCGATTCATAATAGGAATTAACCGAATACAAGCGTTAATTATGCATCGTATGATTTCATAATAGGGGGGTAAGGAACCCTTGTTTTAACAGAAAAAATGAGACAGCAGGTTGTAAAATATCAGGGGCCTATTTCATAAAGTGACAGTAATAATTTTGTAACGACAGGCATTTTCCGTATTGCCAGCGACAATTCTACAGCTTGGTGGCTGTTTTGTTTCATAAAACATTTTATTTTATTATATTATATGTATATTGTTTATAAATGAACTATATTTTAATAAATCATATGTTTTAGGTTATATTTTTTTTGAGAAAAATACACCGTAGTAATTTTAAAATTTCAAAATTACATTTCTCGACTGAAAAATAAGATATTCGAGCTAACTCGACGGCACACAGTGTGCTTTTTTAACACTTCATGCCAATTAATCGTAGCGCTTTCGACAGAAGCAATATTTTGATATGAAACAAAATGGCTTTGAAAGCTAATGTAATTGCCTCTCAAGGAAAAATATTGCCATTAAGCCACAATCACCCCATGACCTGAAAAACTTGGTCAAATATAGTTTTCTTCGAAAAAAACATGCAAAATCCAACGGATGTATTAAAAAAAAAAAACATTTTTTGTATTTTTTATTATACTAATATCATGATACAAAACGAAGGTAGTTTCATTAAAAAAAGTTTGAAAAAAAATAAGTTTTTAAAGTTTCATAAATTGTACAAAATTGTCAGCTACATTGCCACATTTATAGCAATCAGACAATACATCAGAGGATTTAATGTTGTGCGTGGGAAATATTCGGTTATTTGTACAAAAATGTTTTGGTGGGGAGCGGAGGAAGAAGCGGTGTGTCACCTAAAACTACACTCATTAAAAGGGGCATAGCATACAATTTAAGAAAAGCCATCTTTCTCCTCCCTGTCCCTTCTACAAGCACTCGGGGTCATTTCAAAATGGGGTGAAACTACCATTTTTGCAAAGAAAAATTAAACTCGTGTTAGACCATCAGCAGTATTTTTGCGCAAAACTCCTTTCCGCGTTTGTGGCCTTCGGCCGCGCTAGAAATAATAACCGCAGCAGTCCAACTCCGGTTATGTCATCCACAGTATTTTTGCGCAAAATCCACCTCCAAATTTACAAAAAATGTGCATATTTCAAAATGAAATCTTTATTTTAAATTTAAGCTCAATCCTTTGGCTAGACGTATATGTTAAAATTTTTTGATTCGGGTCACGCGTTTGGACACGATAACCCAAAAGCATTTCACAAATTACTGAACCGTACCCGAACTGTCTTATGCCGATTTCGTTTCTCCCGAAAAATGCAACCTTCTCTTTGCCCTCTACGCACAAACACTATAAAGAGGGCGATCAGAAGGCAACATTTTTTGTAGAAAGGAAATATCCATTACTTATGCATTTTTCTATAAAAAGATTTTATAAAATGAAACTGCAGTAGTTTTCATCTTACGTAAATAATTCTTGTCACAAATACATAGTTTCGTGATTATATTTTTTAGCATCGCCTTATTATTCCGAGAACCCAAAAATTGGTACTGTTACAAGTTGCAGCGCATCATTTTAACTCGAGCGATTAACCCTCTTCCACGGATAACGGTACATCGTTTAGTTTTAGAAATATTTTGTGTCAGCAATTTGTCATCAAACTGCATTACATCGTATTACGTATTCTATCCTCGGAAAAGCAAAAACTTTATTTTCGAACCTTTACACAGGGGTACCGAATTCTTGCAGTTTAGAAATATTTTCATCCAACTTCACTGACTACAAATTTTTTTTACTTATTGAAGAAACGGAAATTTTGCTGCTAGTGAATCTGGTAGCATGATTTTAGTTAAATGTCATTAACTTGTTAAAAGTCAAGTGCTCGGCAACAACAACGAATGTCAATAAATGAATCTACCTTCTATTTTTGTATCATGTATAATACTAAATTTTGAGACGAGAAATTCGACTCCACTCTTTAAAAAACGAAAAAAAAGTTCCACCCCTCAATTTGAAAAATGCATTATATATTGCATTTATCATGATTTTCATGCACCATTTTATATACCTAATTTCACAGTTGCCTACAAGCTTATATGAGACAGAAAAAATTCGCCGGCAATTCTGGCTGTGAAATTTTATTAAAAAAATCGGCAATTGTCGCACCCGTCACTTTTATGAAATATGCCGCAGATATCAACACACCTTGGATACTACTACTCACACACACGAAATAATAGCAAATTATTTCTTGACCATTTTCCTAAAAGGTCCGTACTTAGCTTTAGGCATTGAAATAAGCATGATCGTTAAAATTAAGCTTGGAAACCCGGAATAAGAAAAATAAGTATGTAATTCCAAGCGAAAGCTTAAACTTTTCGGCCCTGATTATGATACATATAAATTAAATTAGTATAAAGTAAATTAGGGCGGGTTAGTTTGCTCTTAAAAAATATAACGGACTTTTTTTCGGCGACTGAAGTATTCTACTGGCGATTCTAAAGAAAACAGTCCATGGAAGCATAGCTCTAAAATAAATTTCGAGCCTCCTTATTTCTAATTTTATTTATTGATTACTAGCCAATTTCTTTTTTATATTTCCAAAAATTTTTTTTTGGAAGAAAATTTATTTATGTCGATTTTAGGTCCCTGAAGTAATCACTACAGCATTCACCGATTGGTTTGGCACATATGCCATAACTTAGTGCTTGTTTAGTGCCAATTTATGCTGCTAAAAAAGTTCTGTGCTTTGCAAATTTTGGTAGAAATATGTATTAGCCATTCCTTCAGCTGAAGTAAGCACTACACTATCAATATCTCTGGAAGAGCACACACTTCTACTTTACGGCATAATTTAGTGCTTATTTAGTGTCAATTTATGCCGCAAAAAGAATTTTTTTGCTCAGTAAATTTTGGTAAAACCATGTAGTAGCCATCTCTTCAGCCGAAGTGAGCACTCACTATAAATATCTCTGGAACCAAAAGCGCATACACTTCTACCTTACGACATAGTTTAGTGCTTATTTAGTGCCAATTTATGCCGCAAAAAAAAATTATCTCTGTAAATTTTGGTAAAAACCTCTAGTAGCCATCTCTTCAGCTGAAGTATGCACTTCACTATCAATATCTCTGGAATCAAAAAGCGCATACACTTCTACCTTGCGGCATAACTTAGTGCTTATTTAGTGCCAAATTATGCCGCTAAATTTTTTTTTTTGCTCTGTAAATTTTGGTAAAAACATCTAGTAGCGATCTCTTCAGCTGAAGTAAGCACTATGCTATCAATATCTGTGGAACCAAAAAGCGCATACACTCCTACTTTACGGCATAATTTAGTGCTTATTTAGTGCCATTTTACATGCCATATGATGTACCCGATCCCTCGGCGACATCCTACAGAAAACTCACCATTTGGGCAGAGCAACGAGTGATAAGTATATTGGCTGGCTGTGACGCTAATGCACACCACACGGCTTGGAACAGCTCCAACATCAACGATGGAGGTGAGTCACTTTTAAGTTACATATTATCCACAAAACTGACCATTTTGTAAAAAGGGTAATCACCACACTTTCTACAATACAATAAGGGAAGAGGTTATAGATATAACTCTCGTAACTAACTCGAACAATTTAGTGCTTATTTAGTGCCAATTTATACCGCAAACAAAATTTTTTTTCTCTGTAAATTTCGGTAAAACATGTAGTAGCCATCTCTTCAGCTGAAGTAAGCACCTATCAATATCTCTGGAACCAAAAAGCGCATACACTTCTACCTTACGGCATAATTTTGAGCTTATTTAGTGCCAATTTATGTCGCTAAAAATATGTTTTTTCTCTGTAAATTTTGGTAAAAACATGTAGTAGCTATCTCTTCAGCTGAAGCTATCAATAGCTGTGGAACCAAAAAGCGCATGGCTAGCCCTAGCAGGGTGTCCAGATTCTTTAAATAAAAAAGCGTAATTTCTTTAAAAAAAATCGCCCAAAAACGCCTAACTTTTTGGTATATAAAATTCATGAAATTGGCTTAACATCTTGTTATAGAATAGTTTCAAAACCCGAAAAATAATACAATATCTTCAGGGTAGATAATAATAAATAACACAAATACCTTATAGTAAACCATTTTACGTACACATTTAAAACATATTTGTCTTAATACATTGGACTAAATTTAGTAATACTACGTTTTAATTTTTCTCTCTAACGCCAGGATTATTTTTAAAA